ACAAGCAAACCAGATTTCCCTTCGAATTGCAGTAATAGAACTAAATCTATAGTGACGAAAGTCGATGAGAGGTCAAGATCAAGAGAAAAGGGGGATTTCTCACAAAGCTCAAAAAGTAGCATTGGTGACTATAGCAGCACTACAAGCACTAGTGAGGAAAGCAGTCTAAGTGGGTCTGGTCGTAGCGGCAAGAGGCCTCACATGTCAAGAGACTTGAGATGGGAAGCCATCCATCATGTTCAGAAGCAGCATGGAACCTTAGGTTTGAGGCACTTTAAGTTGCTTAGGAGGATTGGTTCGGGGGACATTGGGACTGTTTATCTTGCTGAGCTAACTGGAACAAATTGCGTATTTGCTTTGAAAGTGATGGACAACGAGTTTTTGGTTACCAGGAAGAAAATGATTAGGGCTCAAACAGAAAGAGAGATACTGGAAATACTGGATCATCCGTTTCTCCCTACGTTATATGCCCATTGTGTGTCAGAGAAGCTCTCATGTTTGGTTATGGAGTACTGTCCGGGTGGAGATTTGCATGTCCTGCGGCAAAAGCAACCCGGCAGGAGTTTCTGCGAACAAGCAGCCAGGTGCATTTTCTTCTTAAGGTCCAGTTTTAGTTAATTGTGCCTGTGCTTTTTTCTTTTTAAATTTTTTTAAGGTTTGCAAAATAATGCAAAATTTGACTATGATAAGATGCATACATTTGACATTAGTATTTAGTAGGTTAAATCTTTGTTTTCTTCCTTGCTCTTCCATATCTGGGACATTGATTTGATAGTTGTTTGATCCTAGTACTTGATCTATGTTATCTTCCTTTTTCTCATTGAGTTTCCATATTGACCAGTCAGAATAGATTAAAATATTTAAGGCAGATGTTATTTGTGCTTGATGGCACACTATGGCCATGTGCACACATGTTTGGTATGTCAAATAGATTATATTAATTCCCTGGGATTTAATCTTGGGATCTAATTTTAAATCCCACAGATTTTTAGATTTGCAGCGTTGGACTTATCATTTGTCTTAGTTTGACATACCTTAGCAAATTCATGGAGATTCTGGTGATTACTGTAGGAAGATTGTATCCTATGACTAGCCTCAAATGCTAGGGTTTTTTTAGTAGCTTGAGCTAACTTGGTAGAGCTAAGAAATGTCCTACCACTGTTTGTTTGACATTGTTTTCTTGGTTATTATTAAGTACATGATTGATTGTCGTCAACATAATTGTACTCCAGCACTTTAAATGTTCATTAAACTAATTCCAGCCATTTTATCCTGTATCTATAGGTTTTATGTCGCTGAAGTCCTCCTTGCCTTGGAGTATCTACACATGCTAGGAGTTGTGTATCGAGACTTGAAACCAGAAAATATCCTGGTCCGAGAAGATGGCCACATCATGCTCACAGATTTTGACTTGTCACTCAGATGTGCTGTCAATCCAACGCTGCTTAAATCATCGTCTCCTGTTTTGGAGAGCACAAAAAAGATGTCAAGCCCGTGCATTGAATCTAGCTGCATTGATCCTTTTTGCCTCCAACCATCCTGGCAAGTCTCATGCTTCACTCCCAGACTTCTATCTGCTGCTGCAAAATCTCGGAAAATAAAATCCGAGCTTGCTGCCCAGGTCAGCCCACTGCCACAGCTTGTAGTGGAGCCAACTAGTGCCCGATCCAACTCCTTTGTTGGAACCCATGAATACCTTGCTCCGGAGATCATCAAAGGAGAAGGTCATGGGAGTGCTGTTGATTGGTGGACATTTGGAATCTTCTTGTTCGAGCTGTTATATGGTAGGACACCCTTCAAGGGGTCAGGAAATGAGGACACATTGGCCAACGTTGTGTCAAAAAGTCTCAAGTTCCCAAATACCCCTATAGTGAGTTTTCATGCAAGAGATCTGATCAGAGGCCTGTTAATAAAGGACCCTGAAAATCGTTTAGGATCAGTGAAAGGGGCTGCAGAGATTAAGCAGCATCCTTTCTTTGAAGGCCTTAACTGGGCATTGATTCGGTGTGCAGTACCGCCCGAGCTTCCCAGGTGGTGTGATGTTGGATTTGGTGCACCCTCTGCTTCACAGAAACAGGAGGGCAAGGAGTTGGAGGGTATAGGAGAGCATATAGACTTTGAGCTGTTTTAGTTCTACTTTCATATGGGGAAGAAAGTTGAAATCTTCTTTTTCCGAAATTTCTCATCGGTTTTTTTTAACTGATAATATAGCTTATAGTGTAAATTAAATGTAACTCAAAAATACTGGTGGCTAGTTGTAGAGTATGAAATATGGATACTGATACAGTAGCTGAGAGAAATGGAAATCGGATTAGCATTTTCCTTTTTTCTTTTTATCCTATCACTCAGGGTGTGCTCATGTTTGCAGCTTCATCTTGTCCTATAAACGAGAAGTTATTGTGTGTTCAATACACCAATAACATGTTGATGTGGTGTATTCAATCCATTCATATTATAACACGTACCTTTAATACTTTCATTTTTTAGCCAAACGGCTCAAGAGGCCCGCTTTCTCATGGCTCCAAAGATTTTCAATCCTTTTCTTCTTTCCCATTTACATTTGTTTCGTGATGTGCATGTGCACAATTCAATACATCCATAAGCTTCTTCAAAATGTTTGTATGGTCTATATTTTTATTTTTCTTCTTTTTTTCTTTTTTACGCTAAGCGTTTCTTTATTCTATGATATCTACCCAAGCTGAAACTCAACACATTTCCATAGTATTTTCTGTGTCCTAGGAGAATGAGGGTATTGCACAGTAGAGTAGCAACCCCTTCAAATTTACGATTTTGCCACTCCTCCAACCACCCCTCTCTGAAAACCCCATTTCTTCTTCATCTTCCTCAATTTCCATCCCTTCAAAAATCAACCTTTCGTTCACATTCCCTCAAATCGAGCACCTCTTTCTCATCTGGGTCTGTGACAAAAGCATCAATGGCGGCTTCTTCCCCATCCACGGAGGCAGAGACCAGGCCCTTCTCTGTTCTATTTGTGTGCCTGGGCAACATCTGCAGAAGCCCAGCTGCTGAAGGGGTCTTCAGGGACTTGGTGAAGAAAAGGGGTTTGGATTCCAAGTTCAAGATTGACTCTGCTGGAACCATTGATTACCATGAGGTAGGAGCTATTTTCAACCATAACCGCTGTTTTAGTTGCTGAAAAAAAACGTAGGAAGGTAAAGAAAATGGACGTCACAAACAAAGCCAGGCTGCAAATATTTCATTTTATTTTTTGTGTGAATTATAATTCCAAATTTCTGATTGTATTTATTGGTGTTAAAAGGGAAATCAAGCAGACCCAAGAATGAGGGCAGCCTCTAAAAGGCGTGGCATTGAGATAACTTCTTTATCTAGGCCAATCCGGCTGCCTGATTTTAGAGATTTCGATCTTATCCTTGCAATGGACAATCAGAACCGAGGTGGGTTCATTATACATGGAATATAAGAAACCATCAAATGCATTTTGTTTTTCTTGGAAATTTGGCTCAGCCCTTTATATGTTTTTATACTCAAATAGTCCTACATGTTTATAACTTTATATATGTGTGATGTGTTTTATTAACTTGTGGTGTTGATATTGGCTATAGATGATATAATAGAGGCGTTTAATAGGTGGAAATTTAGAGAACCTCTACCCGAGGATGCTCATAAAAAGGTTTGTACTTTGTATTTACTATTTAGTACTTAGAACGGGGATGCTACAATGTAGATTGATATGAATTTGATTATTTTGTCTTATGTTGTTATTGATCATGCAGGTTAGGTTAATGTGTTCTTATTGTAAGAAACACGATGAAACTGAAGTACCGGACCCTTATTATGGTGGACCGCAAGGTTTTGAGAAGGTAATATATCAATACCTGTTAACCATTGTTCTTGATCTTATCATGGATGTATGTTTGATGCAATGGAAATCAAAGAGCATACATCTAAAGTGGCAGCAATTATCATAATGGTTTTATCTGTTGTGAAATGCATGTGAGGAATTTAGTGAAATTGTCAAGAATTACTTTGTCTAAAGTGGCAACCCTATTGCTAAAAGTTTTCTGTCAAACTTTGTTAAGCGTCTTGTACAAATTAAATTTACTAGAATACAATTGAGATAGAGCGGGTGGCTTTTTAGTTATTCAGCAAGACATCCCAAATTTTCGGATTTATGTCAATTAAACAGTAGGAAGATGATCCTCTCCTTTTTCTCCCACTCGTTTTCTCTCCTTTCTTCAAAATTCAAATCTCAGTTTAACTTTATTTAACTTAGAATCCAGTGGCTCATTTTTTCATAATATTGCTTAAAAGGGGAGAATTAGAGAACTCCCAGAAAGCCATAGGGAAAGGTAGAAAGAAAGTAAAACCCCAATCCGAAGCAGATCAGGTCACAGCCAAGAACTCAATAAAGAACAATCAATCATTGGATTCTGCTTATATTACTTTGAATAGAAGATACATGAAGAAACTGGTAGCAAACGGGGAGGAAAGGGAGAATTCGGCTGCGTAACTGGTATCGCATGCTAATTATTCAGGTACTTTTAGAGTTGATACTAATTATGAAACATCATGATATTGCAGGTTTTGGATTTACTTGAAGATGCATGTGAATCATTGTTGGACAGCATCTTGGCTGAGAACAAACACATTTTGGATTCCTGAACTCAATCCATTGCCGGTTTGGATTGATCAGCAAAATTGCCATTTTGCATAATGCTTGTTGCGTAAAGCAGCTTTTTGCTCGTGATCTGAAGCCGTTACATAAGATCCATATTGCCATTTGTAAGTGAACGGTAGCTTCAAATTGAATTTATTGCTACCTTCGCTGGGTCATTGTAAAAATTGGTGTATAACTTGATTTAATCATGCAACTGGAATATCACTGTCAATTTTTGAGTCGAGTAGTTTAACCCGACAAAAAAAGAAATGAAAAGTTACTCTATTACTAGTTTATCTATGTCTGACTCTCTCTCTCTCTCTCTCTCTTTTTTTTTTTTTTTTTTTTTCTCTTGTGGTGCTAATTATTGGACTATGTTTTTTGTTATCCTTTTTACATTTATTGTTTAACTTAAACTGAATCAGATGCATCAGCTATATCTTCTATCCAACCTTTTTAGGGCGTGTTATACTTCCCATGCAAGTCTTTTGCTTCCGTTCTTGTTACCTCATGTTGAAGCAATAAATTGGGAACAACTGTCTCTCGTTGTTCCAAAATGTTAGCACTTCTGTTCTCCCATTAGGGCTTGTACTCTAGCATTGTGTAAGAATGATTTGTTCCTAAGTGGCATTCTTACATTGTACTACCATCTAAGTTGGGAAAGAAAACTGGGATATTAGGCATTTTCCTTTTCGTCAGTTTGTTTCTAATGTTTAGGGTTCAGTTGCTTGCCACGTTGGTCATGCTATGATGGCTTAAGTTTGCTTTCTTTGCTATCTGGTAGGCATTGGTTTGTCAACAGGAACCTTTAACTCGACGTTTCCTCTCTTGGCGTTGGACTTCCTTGTTTCTTGCTCATCCCTCTAGCTGTTAGCTTCCTTTAATTCTGCTCATGCTACCCTCTGTATATTTACTGTAGTCAACCACTGTTTCCATTAGCCCCAAAACAAAACAAAAAAACAAAAACCAATGTTTCCATCAAGGGTTTCTAATAATCAACATTTTCATCTAACCAATCTTTGGATCCATCAGAAGGCACACTAAACAAGATGAATTCAAGGGAATATTGGATATTACTTGACCACAAGATCATCATTTTTACAACTCTTCCCATTATGAAAACTAAAATTTTGTTCACAAAAATGGCCGTTTATAGCAACTGTACAATGATACTGATATGACTTCGTCTGTTGCAGTCAAGGATGAAAATATCGGCGACACAAATATTATCAGGCCTTCAATTTACAGATATTTCGGGGGATATATCGATGTCGTTTTAGGTATCGGGAAAAATTGACAAAAAAGACAGATAATGGCTTAAAAACAAGGAACTTTGAATTGAAACTTTCATAGATGTTAAGCACATTATCAATGAATGTATTGAACTAATAAAATTCAAAACATACTAAGTATAAGATATGCATATGATGAAATGTACATGTATGTATAATGCGCGATGAAAATCCTGAAGATAAATACAATTAAACTTAACACAACAAAGACAACATTATTCAAACATAACCCAACATTATATTACAAGAATCAGACTTAATGATAAAGGAAATGAGAGATAGAAGATTAGGTGAAAAATAAAATCAAACACACAAGAAACCAACCAACCAAAGAGAGGAGATGAAGAGCTAAAGATAGCCGAAATGATTGAGGAGAGAAGAAAGGAGAAGCTACCATGTATTAGAGCTTGGTTTTTGATATTGATTCAAGGACCTATGATTACTTTCAAAACTGAAGACAAATTTCTGGGAAGAAATAGGCTTACCCCCTTGTATCGGTATCGACACCTGAAAAAAGGGATATATAGGGATATCGGCCGACATTTTCATCCTTGGTTGCAGTTGAACTAATCCTAAACCTCTGTCCCACACTTCACTTCATTCGCGGCTGCATGGTTCACTTCAGAAATGTTTGCGTTGAATTCTCCACCAGATCCCTCTCTGCTTCAAACTAAAATCTGTTTTTTCCAACCACGTTTCCTCCTTGGACTGGAACTTATCATGCATGAAAATATATTTGCAAGCTCTGAATCCTCTTCATTCACAAGGTTCTTTGCTGCACTTGGGTTGGCGAGGAGGAGCTTTGCTACAAGGTATCCGGCAGCTGACCAAGTTTGAAACAGCTGTGCCTGTTTTCCAATAAATCTTGCTCTCTTAGTGTCATAATATTCAGGCCAATTGTCAAGAGATATGCGCTTCTCAGCAAGCTCGACCGCCTTTGCTGCAATTTCTGGTCTGTTAAGCTTTATGCATGCCACAGTAAGCTGAAACAAGCCCCATATTGATGTTAACAACATAAATAATCAGTCACTGCTAGATGCTTGTGGAAATTAACAGGGAACTTTTGCATTCCCTTCAACAAAAGCAAGGATTCTTATGGTTATCTGGCTTTATGGTCAACACAAATGGGGATTCTGCATAAGCATAATAAGATTTAACAAATTGGGCTACACAGTATACATTCCATGCGTTTCATGGTGAATCTGAACAATTTCATATTTTAGAAAGAAAAATATAGTGGCTCCAAATTTTATTTTTTGTATTTTCCCCTAATAAGTGATTCCTCCTTGTAAGTTGGCGCACTAGCCAAATGGTAGCATTGAAAACCTGGTTTGCTTGTAGGACATCATATCTTGGAGAGTGCAAGTACAACAAATAAGATGTCTCCAATGGGTTCTCTAAATCAGCTCCTAAGTTAAAATTTGGAGAGAAGTTAAAAAAACTCGAATCCAATTATACTCCCTATCCAGCTCATGAAATAACAAGACTTGTAGGAGCTCCTAAATCAAAGGAGAGAGAAATGGTCTTCCAATGGCTCTTCATCATTAATGATGATTATTTTAATATTATTTTAAATAACACTTTATTTCTAGCGATTCTGAGTCATTATAACTCTCTATATTAAGGAACGTGATTGGAGTAGAAATTTTATAAAGAGCTCCTAAAATAAGTTTATAGTCCTAAGGAGTATGATTGGAAATGCTCTTACATGATGGCATGATATCTGTTGAAAACAAAAGCCGTATGAGGTAATACAGATACTAAACTGGTACAAACTTTTGACCCAAAAAAAAAAAAAAAAAAAAAAAAAAACACTGGCATAGAGCAGGCATAATCGGGAGTTATAAATCCAGCAGTGCAAAGCAAGATCAAGGGCAACAGGGGAAAAAAAGTTTTCACTCAAACCCAAATAAAAAACTTACCTGCCAGAGCAATGTTGGCCAAGAACCTCCATTATGGTAAGACCAGGGACTACAACATAAAATCAAGTAAAGGAGGTGTTAGGAACCAGGATAGAAGAAATTTCAAAAGTCAAGGTAGAGGCATTACGTGTTTTTGGGATCGCTGCCTGTGATGATTTGCCATTCCTGGCCTTCAAGAGCAGGATAACATATTTTAAACGGCATATCTGCCACTAATTCATCCCATTTTGCTTCAATAAGATCCAATATAGCATGTGACTGATCCAATGTTGCAAGACTACTTACAATAGACCATAAGTTTCCAAGAGAAAAGAAACGAAAGTCCATGTGAGCAGGCTGCAGGTTGCCAATTAAGTACCCACCTGTACTTGGCATAAATCCCACCAGCCAGGATGGAATCTGATCAGGGTAGATATTGAACTTATTAACAGCATCATATGAGTATTCCTCTGTCTGGTATCGGTAAATTTCATTGAGTTTTCTCATATCAATCCAGTAATATTCCCTGATATGGAATGATAATGCAACCAGACGATTATTTAGTGCTCGCATAAGGTCAGCTGATGCATCCTCTGGAGCAAGCATCTCACGTGCACAAAGAAGTGCTGAGTAGAACAGTGCCTACAAGGACATGCAACAGTGACATGCGACATTATATAAATACAGCCACAAAGTTTGTAAACTTAAAGATGCATGTCAACAAACATGGGTCAGAATCAGATTCTATACCCGAATAAAATCTTCCTCTCTGCCTAAACCCTAAGAGCATCTACAATCATGCTCCCTATTTTTTAGTTAAAATTTAGCTAAAAACACACAAGTTATTTTAGGAGCTCTCTATAAAATTTGAATTCCAATCATACTCCATAGTTTAGAGAGTAATAGATACTATAATTATTTTTTAATTCAATATAATTAGTCCATCTCTATACCCAAAAAAAAAAAGTTTGTATTAATTAAAAGTATAAAATATGCATAAAACAAAGCAACATTAAATTATAGGAAGCCACTAGGAGTCATTTCTCTCTCCTCAGATTTAGGAGCTCCTAGAGGTCTCTATATTTTAGGAGGTGGATAGAGAGCATGGTTGGAGTTGTATTTTTCCAATTCCTCCCTAAAATTTGTCTAAGGAGGTGGGTTAGGGAGCCCATTGTGGATGCTCCAAGGCTCATTTGCTAGGGAGGACTAAAGTAGACTAGCAAAATGCCTACATTTCATGTGCATTCAAGGCATAATGTGGATATTGTTGTCTAACTTGGAGGATTAAGGAGGACTATTCATAAGAGGTTGATGACTAAAACTTATCCCTCCTAATCCCACCATTTCAAGGGCATTAGCGGGATAAGTTTTAGACATCAACCTCTTATAGACAGTCCTCCTTAATCCTCCAAGTTAGCCAACAATATCCATATTATGCCTTGAATGCACATGAAATGTAGGCATTTTGCTAGTCTACTCTAGTCCTCCCTATCAAACAAGCACTAAGTCCTCTAAATAACTGCAACGACCAGTGTGAGAATAGGTGATGTAATCAACAAACGATGTTTTGAAACCTACTCTGGCAATTGCAATGGTAATACAATGATCTCCATTATCATCTTATGCAGCAATATGTATACCCGAAACTATTGCTTTTCCAAATTGTTTGAAATCCATTATTGCATACCATTATGATAATCATATAACTACATCCACTTATTTACTTAATTATTCTTATTTTTTGGTCAGAACTACATCCATTTATTTGATATTGCATCCCGAGGTTGTAACAGACAACGCTTATGGGGAAACTTGAAAGTAATTTCTGTGACTTTGGAAATAATTCTCCTTATGATTAGACCAGTAAATAAATTTATTAGTTTACAGGAAATGAAAATTTAAGCGTCTCTGATAATTCCAGAATATCCTTAATGTTAGGGGCCAAATGCAGAAGGCATGCAGATGCGACAAGCCCAAAGCAAAGCATGCTAACTTTTTTACAAATGGAGAAACAAAATAGAGAGAAGATAGGGAAGCACCCTGTTACCCCAATGAATAGCAAAGTCGTAGTAGGGATGTAAAACAAATAGGAATTACTCTAACAGTATTGACAAGAAATAAGCAAAAAAGGAGGAGTTCTAATAAAACTCCATGTACACAAGAAGATAAAAGAATTTATTTAAAAGGCACTCATAAAAATAAAATAAATACTTACCTGAATCTCCAAAGGATGGCCATGAATTCCCATGCGGCGATCAATCATGCATGAACCATCTGTGACCAGTAATGTTGGAAACATATCAAAACCATCAGCAAGACACAGCTTCAAAATCATTTTTATCCCTGTTTGCACATCAACTCGTTCCTGGACTGAAAGATCTCCAGAGCATTTTCCATATGCCCGTAACAATATAATCCACCATAACCCTGACAGAAAGATCAAAATCCGTCGAATCATTGACCATTGTGAGAGACTTGAATTATGAAATATTAAAATGTTAATACCTCCATAACCGGAAATATATTTTGAAAGAGAAATTATAAAATACAATGAGCTACCTACCAGAGTCAACAGGGGCAACACGACCAATAGCAGCTTCACCGAAGTCCGGATCCAAAACATCTTCAGTTGCAAAATCATCACCATCGAGTGGGACAGTGCGAACCTTAAAACTGGCAGGCATTAGTCCTTGACCAGGACTATAACAATCCATGGTTTTCTCCCAGCTCTGTAATAAAAAGGAGGGAGATTCACTAGAAGAACAGAAACAAATTAAACTTAAAAAGCAGTGTGATTTACTAGAATGGAAATTGTCAGAAACAAATTAAGCTAAAAGGGAGTGCAATTCACTAGAATGACAGAAACAAATTAAACTAAGTACAATGAAAGCCAACATGTGTAACAGAATTCATGTTGTGAAGGGAGATTGCATATAACGGGCCCCTCTTTAAGCATGAAATGTTATTAGTATGTGTTTTTTTTTTCTTTTCCAGATATTGTAACAATATGTTAGAAGTCAAAGCATATATAAATGGACAAAACATCTGGTGTGCAGACTTTAAATAAATTCATTGTTATGGGAAAAATAATGAAAAATTTAAAGTGGATACAACAACTAGGTTAAGACATAATATTAATGCCTATGTTAGTTTATTTACAGGAAATAAGGAAAAGAGGAAGACTTCATCAGCTATGCCAGTTTTTAGAAAAGAATAAACCTCCATTGTGATAGCCAATTCTATTTGTGTGTGGGTTGTGCTAGTGTGCTGAGTCCTATATTGTAGTGGACTGAGTCCCACATTGGTTGTCTATTTGGGTGAATTGAAATTTGGAACCATGTAAAGCGATTATAAAGAGCTTCATAGGTGACTAGTTTTTTGGGATCTCTTGTAGATATGGTGAGTCTTACCACTCCATGGGTTCGAAAACATTGCAACATAACAAAATTGGGCTCTGATAAGGATGTCAGGTTTCGATTGTAGGCCATGACAAGTACGTTAGGGATATTATGACAGCCAACTCTGTGTGTGCAAGTGCGTGCTGAGTCTCATATTGGTTGTGTTTTGGGTCCATTTAGACCATATCAAGTGATTATGACAAACTCCAATAATGACCAACCCATTTGAAGTCTTGTGTCGATGTAGGGAGCGAGTCCCTAAGTCATAACATCCACATTGGAAACTAATCTTAAATATTACACAACCACACATGCATAGATGAATCAACTGATTGAAAATGGAACAAAACCACCGACCGCATGAAATCAAATAATTAAACATGAAAATCAGGTGAACTTAAGTCAAAAGTAAGCAACAGTTAGTAATGATGGATTTGATACTCAAGGAAGAGAATACTTTACCTGCAACTGAAGGGTATGAAGAATGAAATTCCGCACAATATCATACTCCCCTTTTAAAAGGAAAGCTATCCCAGTAGGTATGAAGTCACGAATAAAGACCTGATCATAGTTCAGAGTACTAGTAGAGTTTGGATTATTAGCAGCAATGGTTCCAATAGGATTATTACAATAATAGACCACGGAGTTCTTCAGTAATTTCCATGCTTCATCCTCAATCGAATTGGTCCTAACCTTCTGTGTAGAAGCTTTATGTTTTCCAGCTGTAGCCGGCTTACCGTTTGATCCAAAACCTCCCTCTTCATGTTTCAGTTGTTGATCCACCTCAAATTCATTAATACCTGGACTAGTTATGCCATTAGGAGGAATCGATGTTGCTTTATCTGAGTCGTCTACTAGCAAGTCCCTATGCTGATCTTCTGCAGTTGCCCCAGTAAGCCTTTCTGCCCTTTGACATTTGCAACTCATCGAATTCGACCTACTAACATAATTTTTTCCATGAAAAACACTGTTTCTAGCCTGGAACGCACATATTCTCCAGCGGTCCTGTGAAATTCTCGAATGTTTATGCACTTGGGCACACACTGAACTTCTTTTCCGTGTATTATTTACACCAGACTGAACTGAGATTACTCCATTTACATTGCTTAAAGATAGATCAAAACAGCCAAGGCGAGGTAATGGCCCAGATAGTACTTGTCGAACAGCTTCCGAAGTAGCCATTAGGACGTTGCAGACGATTAATTACTCCAAAAACCTTTTATTTAATACCTCTGACGATGAAATCCCCACTAAGTACTTGATATTCAATTCCTTTTCTTGTCTTGACTTAGGCTCCTACATCAATACATAAGCTGAAACTCACTCATGAACCACTGAAATGAACGTGCTCAATAATTCTAATTCAATCTGCTTCACCTAAAAATTTCTACAAATATATATGTTCTACAAAAGGTTGTACAAACTTGTGCATAATCAAACGCAGAAAATATAAAATTTTGACAATACCAACAGTTCATGCATAACCCTGTTTATAAAAATTAGGCTTCTTAGCAAAAATATATAGACTGACTGATGAGGAAAAAGAAAGTAAACTTCTTGGCAAAAACAAGAATTTGGATTGTTGAATTCCATATATTTCTTCTGTTTTCCCATCTTACCTCAGAAACCAAACACCAAAAGAGAGCAGACTTTGTCGAGCTTCTCACCACAGCGACGGTCATACGCAGCGAAACGATAACTTCTTCACTCTTCCAGAAAAAAAGAGGAAGGTATATATACTTTGGATTTGTCAATATGCAAAGATATGTTTTGGTAAAATAATGTTGCAAGATATTTTCTTTCTTTTTCCGTTTTCTTTTTTCTCGCTTTCCAAACGAAGAGACACTGAATACTGATTATTATTAGGGGGTTTTATTAAAACACGGGGGTTGAAATTATAAAAAAATTCAAGCACTATTTAAACATATAAACACACCCAAAACTTATTATTACACACACTCAAAACCTATTTATAAACACACCCAAAAAGTTGACTTTGAGGTTGATTTTGGATATGTTTATATGTTTAAATAGTGCTTGAGTTTTTTTTATAAATACATGTCTAGAATTGGGTTTATTTATAAATTTGTAATTATTACGAGTATAGCTGGGCGGCTTTACTGTACAAACATCATATTTGAAAAGTATAGCCGTTCGGCTTTACCGTAGACGTATAGCCGTGCGGCTTTACTTGTAAATAGACTATTTCAACATTATAGCCGCACGGATATACTATTTAAATACAATATTTTTAGTATAGCCGCCCGGCTATACGTATTATTATTATTTTTAGAGAAAGCCGATGGTCTTTATTGATGAAATGGATTGAAACAAAACAAGTACAAAAATAGCATGGGGGCATAGCCCAAGGAATTAGGTGAGCAGTCTCTACATATATAGGTTCAATCATCGGATTAAATAAGGAGGGAAATATTTTTGCTCACCACTTTAACCCAAGGTGTATACTCATCACATTTCTTAATACAGGACACGTGTCCATAGGCCTAACCATAGTTAAATTTTTACTTTGATTTATGTTATTATGGTTATACTTATAGACATGTAATAAGTGTTGAAAAGAGTGGTGAATATACATCTTAGGTTAAAGTAGTGAGTAAAAGTGCTCCCAACTAAGGAGCCTACCCTCTCAATCTTTCCTGGACTTATGCTTTGTTAAAAAAATTACTCAAATAACAAATTTAACATCAATTATTAAATTAGAAGTACATATCTTCTCTTGAGAGTATTCATATTTTCACATAGCCTCCCAAGTTTTACAAAGTTTTCACATATTCTTTCATAAAAAAAGAAGAAAGAAAAACATAGAATTCTTTAGGCATGCTCCTTCAGCAAAGTTACCAACAATGGTTCCCAGGACATAGACATACTCATTTAGCAATTGTCAACAACAATTGTTGCAAATTTGCCATTTTCTAGTTATTATTATTATTGTTTGGATGCAAGCAATGTTGAGATAGGGGAGATTCGAACACAGAATCTTAGGCGCAGAGGTAAATACTTTTTTACCACTTGAGCTATAAGTCCTTGTCATTTCCTTGTTAATTAAGAGAAAGAAATCTGTGAAAGGGAGAGGCTGGTGAAGGAGAGTTGCCAATGTTGGGAACGCTGACGCACATTGACGGGAAATGAGGCCTTGCGCACAGGTAAGCAAGGTACCTAGGTCTCTAATTTATATTATATAAATCCCTATATATACCTAGTATGCCACTATATAAAACAAATTTATATATAAAAATTATGTTAGGTTATAATGCTACTCTTACCACATTTGTATACCACATTCTCATACCACCTTATGTGGCAGATGAGGTGGACAACACATCAATTAAAATTAATTTAAAGTTTTCTTAACTTTTATTATTTATTGACACTTTTTAATTGATGTGATTATCCACTTCATCTGCCACATAATGTGGTATGAAAATGTGGGATATAAATGTGGTAAGTGTAGCATTACTCATTATTTAATTCAAAATTAAGAAAAGCCAAACTCGAATAAATGTAAGAAATAAAACATATTGAGCCTAATTTCACATTTTTAACTATGGAAAAGAAACTTCCTGACCACAAACACTTTTTTCGCTTTATCAATTCTTTCTCAATGATTCAATGATAGGTGAAGTTCGAATCGTTTAACTGGTATGGCGATTAATGATTTCTTTTAGTTTTGAATTTCATGCTTTGTTTTTTGGGAAATTATTATAGAATTTACAAATTTCCAGTGAAGATTCACAAATTTGAAGAATTTTTTTGCTTATGTGTAAGCAAATTTGTGTTATTGTACTAGAATTTGAGATTTGATAAAGAATTTAAGTTTGTTTATCCCTTTCTTGTTGAGTACACTGTAAATTAGATATTGTTTGTTGTCTTTTTTATGTTACTATCTTAAATTTGAGTTCATATAATATTTTCTCAAAGTTCTTTCAGGAAAAATAAATCATTTAAAAAGGTTGAGGGCCACATTTTTGTAGTTTGCCGAAGGCCTCCAAAACCTTAAGACAAACCTCTGGGGAGAGGGAGCGGTTTTGCTAGTGGAGGTGGCAAGTTTTACTTGGACGTAGTATAAAATGTGATCATGCCATCCCACGGACAGTATCCGATCTCTAATTCATTCACATTTGATAGTATTAAATAAAAGGATTATTTACTAAAATGGTCTTCAAACTTATGCCTGATTTACATTTTGGTCTATAAACTAAATTATTCGTTCAAATGGTCCACAACTTCTTTATTAATTGGCGCTTTGCTCCTACTGTTACATTCTGTCAATATTGACATCAAATATAAGGGTAAAATGGTCCAGTTAAATTAATGGCTTATTTATGTACATGCTCCCTGTACTTTCGAACTTGTCTCAGATTACCACATGTGTTTGCAAATGTCTCAAAATGCCCCCCCAACCTTTTAAAAATTGTCTCACGTTACCCGTTTCCTTTAGTTTTTTAGACGTTCCGTTACCAACGTTGGGCCCCACGTTGTTTTGACATTTAACCTCTTCGAATAAGGGTTTCTCAGTTCTAACAAAGGGGGAAATTGGGTGAGAATGGGAAATTGGAGAAGAGGGCTTAGGGTTTGTGAAAATCTGAGGTTGGCTTCGATTTTGGGAGAAGCTGGAGAAGAAATTAGGGTTTTATAAAACTCTAAGGTGGAGTTTGAAATTGGGAGATTGTGGAGTAGAAGATTTGGGTTGATGGAAAGAGAAGAGAAGCAAGGAGAAGCAAGGCATGCCCAATGGTGTCATTGTGGGAAGTTAGCACGAATGTAGACTTCTTGGACCAGTTCAAACCCAGAGCGGAGATTTCTAGTCTGCACAAAGTCAAAGGTAAGCATGTTTAAGATCAAATTTTCAGTCATTGTTTTGGGCATCACAAATTGATAGAGTTTTTATTGATGAAATTGTCAGTGATTGATGAAATTTTCAGTCATTTTATTAGGAAATTTTCAGTCATTGTTGTTGGTTGATACATGGAAGTGGAGAAAAAGGATGTAGGTTTTTTCAGTGGTTTAATGCAGAAATGTGTGAGCGTTCAAAGTCTTTGATACCTGGTTTGCTGAGGAAGATTGATAGGGTTGAGAAGGAAAATGCAAAGATTCGAGCAAAGTCAAAAATATTGTGGGCTGCTATGTTGCTTTCCTGGTTGGTGGTGTTTGTCATGAAGATGAATTAGGCACTTTAGCAGTAGCTCAGTGGGCACTATAATTTGAGAACAATTGTTAATGTAATGTAAGGCACTTTGGCAGTAGTTTAGTGGGCAAATTTAATTTGAGAACAAATGCTAATATAATGTAAGGCGCTTTGGCAGTAGTTATGTTAGTGTAATGTAATGTAATGTAATTTGGTGTAATGTAATGTAATGCTAGTTAAGTCTGTTAATTGTAATTTGTTTACAGGTTACAAATGGTGACATGAATGTAATGCTAGTTAGTTAAGTAATGTAATGATAGTTAAGTTTGATCTATGATATGAATGGTAACTTGTTTAGAGGTTACAAATGGTGACATACTAAATGGTCAATTATCCATAACAAACATCAATAATCCCATAAATCAAATATAAGCACAAACCAAAACAGGTTCTAACCATAACAGCCTTAGGAATATAAGCACAAACCAAAACAGGTTCTAACCATAACAGCCTTAGGAATATAAGCACAAACCAAAACAGGTTCTAACCATAACAGCCTTAGGAATATAAGCACAAACCAAAACAGGTTCCAAAATACCAAAATAGGTTCCAAAATAGGTTCCAACCATAATAGCCTTAGGAATATATGCACAAACCAAAACAGGTTGCAAAACTATAATAGGTTCAAGGATGAAAAAAAGTGTTCCACAACATTTAAGTCTTCCACAACATGTCTGGACCATTAAAGTCTTCCACAACATTCAAGGATGAAAAAAAAAAGATCTTTGACAAAATGACTCCTCTGTTGATCTTTCATTCTCCTTCTACGTTGTTGTACTCGAGATAGTTTGGCAGGTTCAGATGCTTAAGATGGTTGGGATTCAGAAGCATCAGCTGCTTGAGATGGTTGAGATTGCGGAGCATCAACTACTTGAGATGCCTAGGATTAAGAAGGCCCTTGGGAACTGCTTGCTTGTTTCCTTTGCCTTAATTGCATACTCTGTTGTCCGCTACTTTGGTCTCCACCATATCTCCTTCTTACCTAAAACAAATAATTATTAGAAGTTTCCATGATATAAAATTTTGATTGGTGAAAACATAGTTGAAATCGTGGCACTTACTGCAAGTTTTTCGTTGGCAATTTTCATCTTTCTAGTAGGCTTTATGTTGGGATTTCTAGGTTCCTAATAAGCAAAGTCATCAAGTCAGAAACCAAATCAAATACATTTAAATGTAAAGCAATAAGCCTATAATGACACATACCTTACAACTAATTCGATTATGCCCTTCTCCACTGCAATTGCCACACTTTAAAGGGATGTCATACCTAGGAAGCTTATATGGATTAGCAGGTTGTTTAGGTTCATCAACAGCTTGTTTTCTTGTCTTCTTAGGCCTACCAGGCTGCTTGTGGTATTTCGGAGGGAGTAATGAAGGTAAATTAATCTTCATCCACTAATCTTGGCTCGTCATAGGCATAATCATTGGTTCATAGGCTCTCAAGTAAGCATCTTTCTTGTACACTGCATCACAAAAGTCCTTTGGATTCCCATGAAATCAACTTATTGCAACACAAGCATGCAAACATGGTATTCCATTCAAATCCCAAGCATGGCATGAACAAGAGTGGCATTCAAATCAACAGCAAAGTTGCGGCCACTATGGTGCATTACTTCAAACTTATTCTGTCCAGCAGCCTTAGGAATGCACTACTGAGCTTTTCCTTTGTTTTTCTCTAATATCTTTCTAATTCTTGGCCCAACTTGTCCATTCCATTTCTCACAAAAAATCCTTCTTCTAATCATCAACAACATTATATACAACCGAATTCTTTCTAGCAAAACATGCTTGTCTCTGGCATCCATTATGCTACGGTTGAATGCCTCACATAGGTTGTTCATAAGCATGTCACACTTGGAATCACTCTTGAAATATGCCCTACTCCAATGCCTAGGATATTTCTCTGCAAGCCAATCATGTGTAGGTTTAGACAACTTCAACATCTTTCTCATCTCTACATGAAACCATGGCACTGTTGTGGCCCTAGCAATTGCTTTCATTTGATGTTTCAAAGCAAGAACTATGTGTTCCAAATAGAAGTTTCCATATAGAAGTTTCATACAATGTCTACGCTTCTGCATGAGGGAATAGAGCATCCACATCATCTATTAACCCTTTTTGTTTGTCAGTCATAAATACATAACCATATATATTCGTAATATTCAGATTACCACTCAATAATTCTAAAAACCACAGCCACGTTGAATTGCTCTCAATATCTACATATGCGTAGGCAAGTGGAAACATTCCGTTGTTTGCATAAACTCCCATTGCAGAAAGTACTTGCCCAGGGTGAGGCCATTTGACATGACACCTATCCAAGCAAACCACTGGCTTACAAAAATCTAAAAACCCCTTCTTGTAGGCTGCAAGACATATGTAAATTCTCTGAAACCGTGGCCTATCACCTTCCATTTCAGATATAATGATAACTGTACTTCCCACATTTCTGGTTCTTAACTCATGAAAATAATCACACACTACTTCATATTGTTTACTGTAAAACCCCTCTACAAGGTCAATTGTCATGGCTCTTGCTCTGTACATAGTTGCTCTAGATGGTCTGTAACCATAGTCTTGGTGAACTTGCTCTGCAAAAGAAGAAGCAGTCCAATTTGGCTTGAGCCTTAACTGCCCAGAATATCTTTCAGTTAACCAGCCAGCAGTGACATGTATATTTTTAGTCTCCTTACTACAAATATGTGTAGGATTAAAGGTTTTCACCTGCAGGTAAATGCTACCACTAACACTTGAAGCATGGATAACAAAAAGACAGCCCTCTTCACATACTACTCTTATTTTGTTACGGTCATTATTCATAAATATCAACTCCCTTCCACAATTAATGGAGTATATCCTCACAACTTTTCTAAACAACTCGGCAGTTGCAAACTTTAAACCTATTTTGAAACCTGGGTTTGCCATATCAATTTCAGGTCTGAAATCTTCACCTTTTGGCGTCCTATTCTTCTTCCTTCTTAGTTCACCTACTGCATCATCTTCACTTGAAGAGCTATTTGGGCAGATAAGTGTAGGCGACTCTTCTCCATTGTCTGACTTATCATTTTCCTCTGCATTAGGATCATTGTCAATGCAATCATTATCCACATAACCTTCAAACCACTTATCATCCTTCTTCAATAAGTCAATCTCTTCATCACTCTGTGCATAGTCACTGTCTTCAAAGTCTAGATCACTGCTATCATCATCCTCAGAACAAGAATATTCTTGATCACTAGTATCATTCTCCACTTGGCTTGAATTCAGGCTCACTACTTTCAAGTACAAAACTATCATCCTGCTATTGCTTTTAGGTAACGTGCTCATACAAGCTAAAAGCAAACTATCTGATATTATTTGAATGAGTCTACCAGTTCCAAACTCTTCACCATAAAAACTCACATCATACCCATCGTTATGTCCCAAATCTTTAGTCATTCCAAATAGCTTTAACATGGACATATAGTGAACCTCACAATAATCAAACCAACTGACTTCACCACCCAAATAAGACCATTCACTATCCTTTCTATTTTTAACTAGTTTACCTCCATGGAAAAACTTAAATGTGACAACCTCATCAGCATCTTTATCTGTGTAAGAGGAAGATTCACTTAACAAATGGACAAAGGTAACAAAGACAAAACAAGGACCACACAATGACTACATAAGGTGTATTGGGGCCAGCACAAAGTCAAAAAGTATATGAAAAAACCAAAAAACACTCCAGCAACACACCAGACTAGGAACACGCAAGGACCACACAATGATCACACCAAGACCACAGAGTCAAAAAGTATACAAAAAACAAAAAACAAAACCTTAACAGCAATTCAATGCTCATGCCAAAATCAAGAAAATCGAGTGAGAATGGGTTCACTTACATATGAGTTGACAACTGCCAGATTCTCTAAGCACCACCATCTTCGCACTTTCTAGTCTTATAGTCTAACGTCAAGCCAATGATTTCTACTTCAGATTCTCCCAAAATCGAAGCCAACCTCAGATTTTCACAAACCCTAAGCCCTCTTCTCCAATTTCCCTTTCTCACCCAATTTCCCCCATTGTTAGAACTGAGAAACCCCAATTCGAAGAGCTTAAAGGTTAAAATGAAATGGGGCCCAACACTGGTAACGGAACGTCTAAAAAACTGACAGAACGGGTAACGTGAGACAGTTTTTAAAAGGTTGGGGCGGTACTTTGAGACGTTTGCAAATACAGGTGGTAATCTGAGACAAGTTCGAAAGCACATGGGGCATGTACATAAATAAGCCTAAATAAAATAGTAGATAAATTAAAAACTAAAAATCAAAAGGAAAAAAAAAAAAAAAAAAACCTATTTCCCAACTCCCAGCCCCCAATCCCCAGCCCGATAACCCCATTGCCCCAGCGCCCCATCTTATTTTCCCATAGCCCACCTTATGTCCCCTCCCATGTCCCATCCTCCTCCTCTGCAACATCATCATTAGGGTTTGGAGGTCGAGAAATCAGCTCCGACTATTGTGTTCAAGAAGTGGTCATGGGGGTTGGGTCGTGAGTAAGGATCGGGGGTGGGTTGCAGCTGAGGTTGAGATGGTCGTTGGGGGAAGAAAATACAGAAGGAGAGGGAGAACACATGAGAAGGTCGCAGGTAAGGATCTGAGGTGGGTTGTGGCTGAGGCTGGGATGGTTGTTAGGGAGAAGAAAATACAGAGGGAGAGGGAGAGCACATGTGAAGGTCGTGAAGGGGGTAAGGATCAAGAGTGGGTTGCAGCTGAGGCTGGGATGGTCGTTGGGGAGAAGAGAGAGAGAGAGAGAGACAGAGAGAGTTTTTTGTTTTTTTAGGGTTACTTTTGTTTTTTTTATTCTTTTATAGTTTTTAATTAATTTTAAAAATAAAGAATATTTTGTATTTTGTATTTTTTAATTATATATTTTAATTTTTAGTTGTGAAAAGTCTTATTTACACCCACAAATATAGCATGTGCTACTCACATTACTAAATTTAACAAAAAATATAACGGAGACCGAAGAGCTAATTAATAAAGAGTTGGTGAACCATTTGAACAAATAATTTAGTTTAAAGACCAAAATGTAAATCAAGTATTAATTTGAGGACCATTTAAGTAAATAACCCAAAATAAAATGTATAATGCTGCAACTCAAATTTGATAAAATCAAAGCTTGCAAAGCAAGAATTAAATGACAGCCCACAAGGAAAGGTGGAGAAGGACCAGGTTTTAATTTATAAAGGCTTCGATTTCATAGTTGACTGACTTGAAAGAAGCAATTTGGCGCCCTCAATCCCCAAAACGAAAAGGCCAAGAACGCCAACTTTCTATAGCTTCTATCAGTTCCCGTGCTTCTAAAATTTCACAAACATGCCGAATCTGTACATCAAATAAAGCGTAAGATGAACACCTCTGACCCACTGGAATAACTCAAAACCAATATGAACAGGCACATCTGTGAATTCCTTGTTTCTTGATGAACAGGCCTTAACATAATTCAGCATCTAGTTAAACATTCCCTTACTGAAAAGGAAGTAAATTATGTCCAAAAGAATAAACGGTGTTCATGCCAATTTTACACATCATCCATGTTGTGATCATTATCATTGTCTCCTTCGTAATATTCATCATCACGCTGAATGTGCTTGTCTTCGGTGTGCTCTGGGAGGACAACAATTCATAAAATTAAGAAGAGTCAGCTGAAAGAAAATCAACAGATTTCAAGTCCTAAACATACTAGTGCACTCTAGCGTGAGTGCTAATAATTCAAGGAATTTAACTCACGATCCACGCGTTCATCAGGGTTCTGCGCATCTTCATCAAAATCGGGAATATAAAAGTCAGGTGGAACCTGCAATAGGCAACACAATGATTCAAGTCAAATTATATGGTATATTAGTTCTACTTGGATATCAGTGTCTGAGCATGTTCAGTCCTACAATTATTGCATTGGTTGACCTAGCTATGTAAACCATTACCAGAAGTCTCATCAGTCACTAGCCTTTTCAAATATCACGTCAATGGGGTGAATGCATCCTTGAGTTGTGATAAATGGTATCAGAATCAACCTAATACCATCATGTGGGATCAAGGAAACTGCATGCCACGTAACACAAATCTGAGTCATGACAAGGATTTTAGAGATTTGACTTTAGACCCTAACGATAACCTATTTGATACCCCAGTTCTGTGTATATGGTGTGAAAGTGCGCACTGAGTGTCACACCAGTTGTGTTGGATCAATCTGGATTATATGGGAGACCCATCGGTGATCAGTTTTCTTGGAGTATCATATTAACATGGTGAGCACATCCTAAGTCACGACAACTTATATCCTGACTGCAGTCTAAGTATGATATGCTGCCATTTTATAATCTAAGGGATGGTAGAAAATGACACATAGAATATCGTCACTTAAGTTGATGGAATGCCCCAATCAATACATCTAACAGACCATGATTCTTGGATATCTCATGCAAGCATAGATTCTATGAGTTTCACATAGCATTATAGATTTAACTTATATTGTCCTTCACGGTACTTGAAATGAGTGAACCACATCACATTAGAGCATAATTCTTTCTAGGATTTCAAGATTATGCAATTCTGACATATTATGTTGCTCGACTGTCAATCTAAACCAGTGACTAAGTGGATTTTAAAAATTAAAAAAAAAATATTTTATGGGTGGTGCCAGATTGACACTGATAAGGTAACATGCCAGATAACTGGATAACACATTGCTTACCTCTTGCATTTGTACATTAGGAGCATGTTGGATGCAACGGAGATTTTCCAAGACTTGCGTTTTAATCGTGCTAATATAGGATTTACTATTTAGGTTCTCCTGCACACCCAAAAGAAATAAAAGGACTTAAGGCTGTTCTGAATAATCATGGAAAACTGAAAAACTAGCAATGACAAAGTTTTAAGTATTTCAATATCCACCTATTAAACTGATCCTTTTTTACATACTACCAACATCAGCTGTGGCAATCAAATTGGTTCAAAGAAAGAAAATCCAACCTTTTAAAAAACGTATAATGCAAAATTATGAATTCTAATTGATGACATACTATATGTCCATTTGGAATCCTCAAAGAGAAGTCGGGAGAAAAATACTTGATATACTCGTTTTCCGGGATCTCTGCAAGAAAGAAAAATGGTAGTGGCAAATAAGACATCCATGTCCAGAATAGAACAGTACTGAAAGGGACTCCCACATGTTTTTTTTTTAAAAAAAAAAGGATACTCAAACTATCACTGGAGTGGTAAGATTCTCCTCACAAGAATTTGTTCTTTTTTCATTTTCAATTAATCCAATACAAAAAAGAAAAAAGAAAAAAAAAATCTCCAACAATAGAAGAATTACCAATCAATCCAAACAGAAAATACATGGAGAAGAAAATATTAATGAAAAGCCAAAAGTTGAACTAAGCACACATCTTACACGAGCAGTTCAGGAGCCAAAAAAATTACATTCAGAAGCCCATGACCAACAAGACGATAGCAAAAAGAAAGAGTAACATATAAAAGTGCATGCAGTCATTGCTAGCCAGCTAAGACAAATGCACACAAAAATCAGCAGAGCATAAGTTATCCAAACTTCCAATGCCATGATCATTGCCTAGTTACCTAAATAAATACAACATATAAATAAAACACTCCCAAAAATAAAACCATTAATTACAGGAATTTACTTGTCAACAGTCATGCATGCAGGTCACTGCTGGCTAGCGAGAAGATATGCACACAGGAACCAGCAGGGTATAGGTCATTCAACCCTCCGATGCCATGACAGTTAAAAAAGATAAGTCATATACAAAGCTGCATAACAACCCAAAACAACTTAAAATATCATACAGGATCTAGAATAAGAGCAACTGAATATAAAACCAATTCTATTTATCAATGAGTCTTGAAACAGCATTTATTTATTCCAGCACGAATCCTTATTAATATCAAGATATGCACGCTGAATGCCATTTCACATTCTGACAAACTTCTTGGAAGCAAATTAATTTTTTATAAGAAAGAGGAGAAACAGCCTCAGGAATTCTCCATGGGGATCAATATCAAAATATCATTAAAGTTTCAAATTAGATATGAATGGTTTTTTTAAATCTCAGAGAGTGAGGGAGTGAGGGTTATGTCAATATTATGAGTATAACAGTGCTTTTGAAATAATTTTTTTTAATATTTCGTTCCAGATGCTTATGGATATATTAACCGAAACATTAAAAATGTCACAATCAGCTTGAAGAATGTAACCTAGAAAATAATTATCATGATTATGCAATATATCTACCTGCTCCCAGCAAGCCCCAAAAAGAAGAGGGAAGAAATAGTTTATCGTAAAGTCTATACAAAGACAATGCACAACATTATGTTCAGCATTGGTTTATGAAGCCAAGATCATATCAGCTTGGTTATCTTACCTAGATTTTTTCTTAACTTGTGTTAATGAAGTTTTTCTGTTCCATTAAAAAAAAAATTAAATGAAAGTGGCAGAAATAGAGTGTATTTGATAAAACAAAAATCACTTGCTCTACCATTAGGAAGTTCTGAATCAAGAAGAACTCCAGTTTCAACAGTCCAACACCGAGCAACATTCTCTTTCGTGTATCCACCACCTCCTGTAACCTGTAGGCAGAAAACATTCCCTCTGTATGCTAGATGTATGACATTGATGAAAGGCAGGTAAGATTCAGTCCAATGAAGAACATACCAGTAAGGGTAAATTGAATTTCTTCACAAACCTAACACAATCAGCATGACCTGTAAGAAGGATTCAAATGACACCAGAGAGTAAATTTTACCACAAACCATATGCCACTACCAAAAGTTCCAAATAGCTTGAAACCATTAATAATTGAAGAATAAAACAAGTATGACATGGTTGAAGAGGAGCAAAAAAAAAATGCTTCAATTACAATAAGATACGCACCATCAATGGAGAGATTGAAGCAGCCCAAGCGGTCTCCAGCAAGAGAATCTGCCCCACATTGGAGAACTATCACGCCTGGTAGATATGTTTCAACAACCTTGGAAATAATCTACAAAATTGAAGTTTGCAAGTAAAGTTTTACACTTGACACCATCAAGCGAAAACAAAAGACAAAAATCTGCTTTTCTAAATGAACCTACAGTCTTGAAAAGTCTATTGAAGCTAGTGTCATCTATTCCATCCTTCAGTGGGACATTGATGGCATAAAACTTTCCTTCTCTTTCTCCTACTTCCTTCAAAATAAATAATGTTAATAAATACCATTAAAATTTCAACTTTAAAGACTAGCAACGGAACATAAAACATTTCCAGTAATACAACACCTCAGGTAACAGGTTATATAATGTAAATCTTTCATGCCATATTGTCATATACATGAATGCAAGACCCAAAAAAAAAAAACAAAAGCAAGCATGCTAACTAGTTGTTAACTTATTACCATGTGTCACATATGATTAACAATTTTCACCATTGAAAATACTACAAAAAACAAACAAAAAGGTTTAAAAAGTTACCTTAACATCACCCGTTCCAGGGAAAAACATATCCCCAAATTTGTGAAAACTAACCGTCATCACCCTGTCAATCAAATTTCAGTGATTCGATTAGAGTTCAACAAAATCACAAAACCAACATTAAAAATTCTGGTAACTGAACAATTAGAACATTTGTCACTATTGGAGAGCAAATTCTAGTTCTATCAACTTTTGAATTTTTATTTTATCACAGGATTGGCAACAAGCAGAAAACAGATACCAAGACTGCAATTCTTGAGTAAAAGATAAATAGGTTGGATGCAACTTAGCTTATCAAAATCTGAAGAAAGAAACTGTATAAATAATGGTGAGTGTTATTGACTCTTACATGCCTTAATTAACCAACCCAGGTCTTATCTGAGGAATCACATTACTTTCTGATAAGAACTTTTTGTTTTGACGAATTTTGATAGATAAAATAACTAATTAAGCTATACAAAGATTTAACAATTCATTATTGGACCAAATTCCCAAATACCATATGCATAAGATAGTATATTAAAACACTAATTTGTTCATCTATAAATAGTATATTACATACAGGAATGCAAACTTTTATCTTCTCCAGCAACAATTCTATCTCTTATTACCAACACCCTTTTGCTTGTAGTTTCAACATCATAGATGCAACAATTAGCAAGTTAAAAATTGTCCAGAAAAGGCACTAAACTTATATCAACACAATCAAATATTGTACATCTATTATTGCATCTAAAAATTTGAGGTAATTTTGCTAACATTAAGGTTAGCTTTATTATTGTCATAATTCTAGTGTTATTCAACTATCACATTCCTTAACCATATTATAATATACAGGTTATGTACCTATCAGTAAAATAAAAAGCTTCTTCTACGCCATCACCATGATGCACATCTATGTCAATGTACAATACTCGGGCATGATGTTTTAGAAGCTCCAAGATCCCCAAGACCAAGTCATTGATGTAACAAAATCCGGATGCCTCGCACTTCTTGGCGTGGTGTAGTCCGCCAGCCCAATTTATAGCAATGTCACAAAGTTTATTGTTCAACCTACGTGCAGCATCTGTAAAAAAAAAATTCAATCAGTACATATGGCAGAATAGTCAGAACCCACACTTTTTTGACTTCATATAACTAGAATTACCTATTGTTCCACCAGCATAAATTTGACAAAATTCAAACAAGTTATCAAATACAGGGCAATCTTCTCCAAGATTATCTGGCATAGTGAAAAACAGAAAGAATCAGTAAATTAAAAAAGCACATTAGATAGAGATTCCAGTGACTGCAGCCAAGTTAGATCTTTGAAGTGCTCATGTAGGAAGCAAACGAGAGCCACTCAAAGAGAAGAATAACTGAAAATTTATGTTTACAACAAAAACTCAGAAAGGTAAACAAACATTTTGAATTGGTGATTCCCAGAACCTAACTGTGCAGTCAATGACATTTCCTTTCTGCAAAACCTATTCATTGAAATTAAACTAATTAACATGGGCTGTTGATTAACACCAGATCAACCTTTTTTTGTTGATTCACATGTAATTGAGCGATAATATTAACTCGCATAAGAGCAATCAGTAAGCATTAAAAGGGTCAAGGAGAACTTCAATATTGTGGTTTAATAACTTGTTAAACATTAAAGTTGACCATGCCAAAAATCAGAAACCAGAAACACGGTCAGAGGTCATCCAATTGATTTTGACTCCACCACTTCTGCTCAACCGTGCCCTCAGGAAGTTCTAAAATTCCCCATCCCTGCATAAGAGGGTCAATCATGATTTCTTCTTTTTAGTATTCTGTAAGTGTAGTGAACAATCCTATCTCATGATCAAATTTTCTATTACAGCTCTGGCGAAATACCCTCACTTAACTTTTTTGTGTTGAAGCTCATAACAAGAACAATCTATGCACACATACAGCAAAAAATAACAATATATAAATATCCAAGAGTCATACATCTTGCCAGTTCATTCGAGAACAAGTGCTGTGTGTCAGGCGTAATCCGATGTAGAAACTCGACATAGTCAGCTGAATGGAATTGCGCAAGCTCCACCGGATAGGCCTTATGGGGCCGCTGAGAAACACGATAATAATCAACAAAAAGATTGATACTTAAAGTCAAAACTTGCATACCCAATGATACAAAAAATGAAACCAGTTATTACTCAGTACAATAACAAAAGTGGAAATAAATAAAAACAAAAACAAATTCAGAAGTATTATGGGATACTAACATAAATTTCCATCTTCTTGTGGAGGTCATATGAGAGGACAAGATGATGGGTCATACATAGTCGGTGTGGTTTCATGGGATGGTTCGGTCCAAAGTAGACGCTACCCACATCCCCTGCAATACCCATTTTTATTGTGAAACTCAATTTCTCAACTTTCCATAATTATATGATTACAAAAACTAAATGTTCGAAGAAAATCTATAATCCATAATTAAAGAAAACCCAAAAGGGATTATGAAGCACAAAGAGACAGAGAAAGTTTTGCTGGGGTGAGGGGTTAGGGTTGGAGGAGGAGAGAGAAGTGTACCGTCGTAAAAATAGGCGATTTTGTCCTTTGAGCGCATTTTGTTGCAAAAGTTGGAGGAGGAAGGGCAAGGCAGATGATGGCTACTGAGGTTGCGCCATTTTCAGAGCTCCAAAGAAAAAGAGAGAGAAGGTTGATATGTCCTCCTCAGTTGTACTGGATAAATCCCCTTTCTTCTTTAAAGTTTTCAACAAAAATATAACCTTAAAAAATATATTAAAAAAACCCTTTCTACGATGCTTTGCGGTCACTATTTTCAAATAGGGGGAATTTGAAAAAACACAAAGAAGAGAAATTTTTTGTAAAAGAAGTCAAAATGGATAAAATTACCCTTATTTATTTTTGGATTTCCTAAGGAATCTTTTACATTTGCATGTTTTTTGACAGGACCCGTCCCGAATTTCCCGGAATCCCGAGACAAACCCTGCGGAGACCCCGACATCACACCCACGCTGGGTTCACTCCTTAAATCTATGTCCTCGTTTACCATAGAGGATTTAGAGCACGAGACTTTCTGCCGAAATTTCGGCAGAGTCTCCCCTGTAAATTGAACATTTCCCCAAAATTTACACCTGCACAAAACGCATTTTATAACCCAACCGACAGCACACACAATAAAATCTCATGCAATTTACATAAAGGGCCTCCGGCCTTCAAATGATTCTAGCAGAACTGCCCACCAAGTTTTTAAAATAACTTAATACATCAAACATATATATAACAAATTCAAAATCTATTCATGCCAACCTTCACTCACTTAGTCCCCAGGACAAGCCTCAATTCAACCAAGTTTTGGGACCAACAACGAGATCCAAACCAATCTCAATAAGACCACCTAAGTAGGGTCTAATCTGTGGCTGCACCTAGTAACTTCAGGCTGCCTACGTACCCTACTAAGAGATCAAGCCACACGTAGCTCTTTCATATCTATCCTGACTCCTAATATCAGAGAAACCATTACAGCCATACAAATTCATACATTCTAGGATTTAATCATCACAACTCACTAAACACAATCATAATATCTCCCCATACGCCGGAACATCCAAAATTACTTATGGGACCTATCCGCACGCCGGATAAACCTACGACACGTGAGAACTCATCAACATATCACATAATCCCCTCATACGACGGGACGCACCCAGCCTCGTATGGGGTCTGTCAACACGCCGGCTAATCCAAAGACGCGTGCGA